CAAGAATGAATCTTCCTCTTTATCAAGGAAGATTCACTCTCGTTTGGCATGTCTGATTTCCTCTTTCTTTTTTTTTTTGAAAAATGTTGTTTGTTTTTTCGTGTTTTTTTCATTTTTTTTCTTTTCCGGGATGTACTACCGGTTGTCCGAGGCTCGGGAACGATCGGGCTACTAGTAGTCTGAGCCTCGGACTTGATAGCCTGTGAGGTGAGAGAAAAATATACGGTTGTCCCCTGATGAGGAGAAGGCAGCTTCAAAAAACAAAACAAAAAGAAATAAAATTTGTGCATGAGCAAAACAGCCATGCGAATTATCTCAGCGTTGGAAAAAAAAGAAAAAAAGGGTATATAATTTTGGGTGTAACCAGTGTGACTACGTCACGGTGTCAGTGCGAATACCCTTACAACGGTATCCGCACTGATTTTTGCAAGTGATAGAAAATAAGTTGGTTTAAACTTTAAAGTATGAGTACACCGCACGAGTCGCGGTTGAGTCTGTTGTTTACGTTGACAGAATGGTTGACTAGAATAAGGACTGTGTGGGCGTGCAGACTTAAGGCGCACATGATCTCCTTTCTTGTGGATGATTGTAAAGTCGGCATGGCTGCAAACCAAATTTTTAGTTCTGATTTAAACTAGGACTAAAAGGACGTCTGATGATTGGAATGCTTGATTGCGGGGTGTGCGTACGTACGGAGGACGACACCGACAACAATGTGACTTTGAAACGTTTTAATAGATTCGTGCATCGCATATTACCCGCTTATATGAGTGTCTATCAATGTTAAGCTCAGTCTTGGGCAGAGCACTATTAGTTACGGTATTTGATTATTACTATCAGAGAGATTCAGGGATCGAGACCAGCGAACGGCAGCACAAGGATATTGGAACGGCGCAAAGGGACCACGAGGTTGAGGGTACGACGACGGTATTCCCAATGGTTTTGCTGTTCGCTGGGTAACTTGGCGGAAAACCATGGCGATATTAGAATTTTCTTTTTTTTCCCCTCACCATGCGGTCCGGCTGTTAAATTTAGAGGTCATTGCTATTTTCAATTTCGTTTTATTATCCTTTTCGACTACGTATGACATAGGAACCAGTGGGGATAGAAATGTAACATAGAATTCATGAAAACCTTAAAAAAAAATTGTTAGGTTTGCACAATTTTTTTTAAAGATTCAGATAGTACATTTTTCAGGCCTCCAACATGAACAACATTCTATGTCAAGTAAATTAACCACAAAAAATGAATAGAAAATTACTTTTTCAAAACCACTGGACGTGGTGAGGAAAGAAGCAAGTCTTTTTACAAAAAAATCACTACCTTGCAAGACACGGTTTGTTCAAGAATCGAAATATCCCAATTTTTTGTTTATTCAAAAAAATTAAATTTATTGTTATTTAAGGTATGAAGCATAATGAAACTACTCGGGGGTTTTCCAAACACTCACATATATTCTCCTATTCACGAATACATTCTCTTGAATATGTTCCCTCATACATGGACAAATATATTTTTTTTACTATTTTTAGTATTTTTTATTAAAATATTTTTTCGTTTTTTAATTTTAAATCGTGGTTGGCTAAGAATTTGAAGATGTCCTCGAGACAAAAGTTGTTTGAATTCTTCTTTTACATAACATATATTTTTTTGACAAGGATTTTACAGTAAACTTAAAAATGGATTATATTAATTTATAGTTCTATAAACTAGTTATCGCAGAACTTGGTTTTTACCAAACTGCTGAAAACGACTTATAGTTTTATAAATTAGTATTCACTGAAACTTTTTTTTTTAACGTCTTTCGAGTTCGCCTTGCAATCCTTAGAGATTGTTTTGTTTGAGCTTTTCTTTTTTTCAATCTACTGAAAACGACTTATAGTCTTATAACATGTTTTTTTATTGAAAAAGTTTTTCTTGCACATTTTGAGAATCACTAGACTTTTTTGCCATTTTTTTGGCCTCCTTTCTCGGGAAACAGCTAAAAACGCTTTCTTTTAGGTGTAAAAAAAAAAAAGTTTGACTTTTACTTTTTCATTCTATAAAATTTTTTAGGTTTTGTGGTTTTGTTAGGTTTTCACGAATTCAGTGTTACGTGCGAAAAGGTGGGTGATTAGGCTCACGAGATGGAAGACAACTTGAGTGGTGGGAGCCTTGTGCTGGTGCATCGGCCGCCAACCATAAAATTGTTGTGAGAGGTTTGAGTGTGGGCATGTCCGTAGGGATCCGACATACGGGGTTGTGTCTGGGCATAGGCAACCTAGGACACTGTCGAGAGGCCCACGACGGTACAGGTTGCGCGGGCAGGTTGAATGGAAACCCTCTACACTCCGGTCTTCAAAGTTCTCATTTGAATATTTGCTATTACCACAAAGATTTGCACCGGGTCATTTCACGTAGGCCCGCGCTTAGGCATACAACAGGCCCGTGCCCTCGGCTCTACGACCTGCTATGAGAAGCTTCAGTGGGGCCGGTC